ATAAAAACAAGGGAAGAATGCAAGGGAAAAAGGAAAATTGAAATTGAAATATTATATAACGAATGATATTTATCATATTTCAATAATTCAGCTTCTCAATCTTTCCTCACGCTGCATTGACTTATCACGGAGGAATGTTCATAGTGAAATTGTAATCCGTACTAAATACTGCCTGGATGCGTGATAAATTGCGGTAATTGGCTGCCACTCTTTAATTCATAGCGATGTAACGAATACTATTTATGGCACTATTAAACGTGATACGAAGCAGCGGTAATTCAGCTGTTCTGTTCTAGTTCGTTCGAATTCATTTTCATTAATTAAAGGCGAACTTCGCAAAGCTGCTATTTTTTTTATCATTTCCAAGTACTCTTATCGCTTATTATGCTTCCGTTTGAAATTTTCGTTACATATTCTGCAATCTTATATCTATAAGTATGCCGGGACCGTTACGAATTGCGTAAGTTCTTTGTGAGGAAACAGGATCAGATTTTATTTTATCTGAATCTCCTATCAGAAACGCAAATACATTTCAATTCAATGGCTATAGTTGATGAAAAATTAAAAGGGATTGGAGATTAAAAAAAGATATATATTTTTTTTTTCACTGAAACGAATTTTAAACGGAATTTTAGAGTGTTTATAATATGTATTACATATTACCTGATGATAGAATTTTCGAGAGACTTAGAAAAAGAGTATTGCTTTTTAATTGATCTAATTGTAAGTAGTATTTATCTATATACACGTTTACGGCAATTTGTATAAAAATCATACGGAGGTATAATTTTTGCAACGATAAAAATATATATTTTATACTTTTAATGTATAAAAGTATATAAAACTAATTATTATTTGCACATTTGCAGTTAATTATCTTTTGTATATTAATAACATTAAATAATAATAATAAATTAATAAATGTAAATAATAATAATTTTAAATAATAAATTTTGTTAATTATCTATTGTAAATTATCTTTCCTCTGTGCGTGAAGAACAATTATATTATAAAATAGATAAATAGTATTAGATAATAGAAAATGATAGATAAAATAAAATGTTAAAACTAATCAACAATAAAGAATTTAAAAAATAACTCTCTTCCCTCTCTTAAAAATATAAAAAAAAGAAATGAAAAATAATATCTTTCATAAGAAAGATCAGGGTTACTCAGATAAAAATTCAAATTATTATCTAAAAATCAAAAGTAACATATTTCATAAAAAAAAAAGTCAGGATTACTCAGATAAAAATTCAAATTATTATCTACTAATCGAAAATAACATCTTTTATCAAAAAAATTAGGATTACTTAGATAAAAATACAAATTATTATCTAAAAATCGAAAGTAACATCTTTCATAAAGAAAATAAGAATTACTTAGATAAAAATACAAATTATTATCTACTAATCGAAAGTAACATCTTTCATAAGAAAAATCAGAAACACTTGGACAAAAATTCAAATTATTTTCAGAAAATAGTTCAGCGTTACGTATTATTACAAAAATTCTCAAGTGAGAAGGAACATTGGAGCATTTTCATTGTTACAAAATTCCATCATGTGGCAACTTCCTTGCCAATGAAACTTCGATTTCTCGAAACTAGATTTTTCCGAAGTTCAACGCAGAGAGAATATGTTTCAGCAATATCGCTCCAAGCAATATCGAACATTCTTCTTCCAACATGCTTCAACCTAGTCACGTGAAAATACGGTTTTCTCACAATTGCAGGTCACGTGCAAATAATGGAATTTGTAATTCAATACCAAAGAATGTTATCTTACTCTTTTGGGTCTTCCAATGCGGACTGTATGGCACAAAAAAAAAAAATAAAAAAAGTAAAAAATCTACAAATTTGAATTTTGCAGTGGAAATTTTCTAAAGTTTATAATATATAAAGGTATTAAAAAAGGAAAATATATAGAAAAAGAAACTATTGTTGTATTATCAAAATTTTGTTATATAGAATATTTTGAAATAATCCCAATTTTTTGGAAATTTTGAAAATAAAAATGGATTCGATTTAGCTTACTAGTTATAATAAAAATAATTTGAACAATGAAATTTTATAATGAAAGTTAAATTTCTCTTTTAAATTAATACAAATTTATTTGGTATAATTTATTTATTAAAATTTGTAATATATAAAAATATTAAAAAAGGAAAAATATAGAGAAAGAAAGTATTTTTGTATTAACAAAATGTTGTTATATAGAATACTTAGAAATAATCAAAATTTTGGGGAAATTTTGAGAATAAAAATGAATTAGATTTAGCTTACTAGTTATAATAGAAATAATTTGAGCAATGAAATTTTATAATGAAAGTTAAATTTCTCTTTTAAATTGATACATATTTTTTAGTATAATTTATTATTTAGTAAAATTAATTTAAATTTAATATAATTTTAAACGACTAACATCTTTCACTATAATTCAATTTACTATAGCTTTCAATAATGGAAATCTTTTACTATAATTTAATTAAAAGATAATGTAGATACAGAAATTTTGAAAAATGTAAGAAAATTATGATTCACATTCCTCAAAATGCAGTCTATTTTTAATTTTGAATACTATAGTCCTTCTTTACTATGGAGAAAATAATTTTATTTCATTTTTATTCTACTAATTTAATTAATTTAATTTACTTAATTTTATTAATTTCATTAATTTAATTGAAAATATTCGTTTAAACTAAGACTCAATTTAAATCCACTCAAATGGTAAATAACAATAAAATTTAATGAGAATGTGTGTATCTTTTCATCTTAGGAATTGACGTACTTAAAATTCAATATCAATAAAACTTACAGTACAAACACAAACTGCCCATTTTGTATAAATACAGGTCCACAATCAACAATGTACCATAAAATTATACCATTAAATTCATAATTGAATTTCAAATCAGAATTACGAAGCAGATTGTAGAAACGAAGGTTTACAAAAAAAAAAAATAAAAAAAGTAAAAAATCTACAAATTTGAATTTTGCAGTGGAAATTTTCTAAAGTTTATAATATATAAAGGTATTAAAAAAGGAAAATATATAGAAAAAGAAACTATTGTTGTATTATCAAAATTTTGTTATATAGAATATTTTGAAATAATCCCAATTTTTTGGAAATTTTGAAAATAAAAATGGATTCGATTTAGCTTACTAGTTATAATAAAAATAATTTGAACAATGAAATTTTGTAATGAAAGTTAAATTTCTCTTTTAAATTAATACAAATTTATTTGGTATAATTTATTTATTAAAATTTGTAATATATAAAAATATTAAAAAAGGAAAAATATAGAGAAAGAAAGTATTTTTGTATTAACAAAATGTTGTTATATAGAATACTTAGAAATAATCAAAATTTTGGGGAAATTTTGAGAATAAAAATGAATTAGATTTAGCTTACTAGTTATAATAGAAATAATTTGAGCAATGAAATTTTATAATGAAAGTTAAATTTCTCTTTTAAATTGATACATATTTTTTAGTATAATTTATTATTTAGTAAAATTAATTTAAATTTAATATAATTTTAAACGACTAACATCTTTCACTATAATTCAATTTACTATAGCTTTCAATAATGGAAATCTTTTACTATAATTTAATTAAAAGATAATGTAGATACAGAAATTTTGAAAAATGTAAGAAAATTATGATTCACATTCCTCAAAATGCAGTCTATTTTTAATTTTGAATACTATAGTCCTTCTTTAATATGGAGAAAATAATTTTATTTCATTTTTATTCTACTAATTTAATTAATTTAATTTACTTAATTTTATTAATTTCATTAATTTAATTGAAAATATTCGTTTAAACTAAGACTCAATTTAAATCCACTCAAATGGTAAATAACAATAAAATTTAATGAGAATGTGTGTATCTTTTCATCTTAGGAATTGACGTACTTAAAATTCAATATCAATAAAACTTACAGTACAAACACAAACTGCCCATTTTGTATAAATACAGGTCCACAATCAACAATGTACCATAAAATTATACCATTAAATTCATAATTGAATTTCAAATCAGAATTACGAAGCAGATTGTAGAAACGAAGGTTATCCGATTTATTCGGTAGGATATGATAGAATAATTTATCGACCACTTATCGTTATTTTTCCTTGTATATTTCAATATTGCTAGGACAAGAATAATAGCATTGAGATTTCTCCGATACTATGACGTAAAATAGATTAACCTATAACTCGAAAGTTCACTTATGACTCGTTATCAACATCTCTTAAAACGCGAATAAAAATAACAGGAGCATTAAATCTGTCGGAATCGCTTCTTCCCGTGTCTCGAACGCGTCTCGACAGCTCGTTAACCGGTTTCGATCGCGTTCCATTTACTCCTTGAACTTAAACTTATCCGTGTGCTTAATAACGAAAATGGACACGTAACACGCACTGTTCATCCACCGAAAAGCCATCTATACTTCAAAAAAGAAACTTCAATTCGTCTGCCGGACTATTTCCGTTTGTCAGACAAAATTTATAATATCACATGCATCGCGAATGACATACTTCTATTATCACATGTCACATATATACGTAATACCCTACATTCGTGAACTTTATAATATCCTTCGATTAACGCATCGAATAATATTGTTCGCACTCTCAAGTCACTTCGTATCTCGTATCCAATTAAAACGCGATATATCAATCAAATAACAAATCCATTTTATAACCCATAATCTTCGTGTGCAATACATTTAAATTATTACTTCATACTCTTTATTACTTTATTGCTTTAAATTATTACTTCACCGATTCCCTATACACTATTCGCGATAAGTGAAATCTGCTTCTTAAAAAGCGAAGAAGAAGATCCTAATGTAACTGCGCACGCTGCACGTAATAGCAAGGACCACCTGTCAACGTGCCAGCAGCGTGAAGTTGACCGCGGACCGCGCGATTTGATATGGCCGCAACCCGCAACGAACTTCAACGCGGAATTTGAAAAAGTATACTCTACTCACCGTCAGCTCGGCATTTCGTCCGGCGTCGTTCGAATGTCGCCGATGGAAACCCGTCACGCTCGAGAATATCGTCGACACGATCATGCGGCTACGATGTTTCACTGGTCACCTTTGGATCGAATATCAGAGTGCCGGGAAACCATAAACATCGCGTGGAAACCCGAATGAAAAAGCGTTTGACACTCCTGCTGTCACCGAACGAATACACGTTTTCTTTATCGTATTCCCGATCCGACGAAAATTTCGTTAATTCGTTTCAACGCGGTTTCTATAATTTCACGTTTTTAGTAACGAGTTCACCGACGGGATACACTTACGTTATACGATCCGCGACACACACCTGACCAATGGTCGAACGATACTGAGCCGGTGGCACTCGCGAATCTCCCACTAGACTGCCACCACCCCCACCCCTTGCGCACCACTCGAGTCGTCAAATGAGCAACCCTTGACTGTTTTCTATGAAAATATTTATATTGTAATTCTGTATGTGCAAACAAAATTTATTTGAAACTGACATCTTTGCGAATTAACATGATTCGTTTTATGTATAATAGGTCTACACGATCTGAATTAATTTTTGCAAGCAGATTTTTAATACGGTTAGGATATATTATTTAATAGAGTGGAAACTCGAATGCCATTATTTAATAGAGTGGAAGCTCGAATGCTATTTCCATGTAATTGAATATTTCTTACAGCCATATGTAGTTCACTTTTTATAAAATAATTAAGGTTATAATAACGAAAATAATGTTATTATTGATGCTACATTGAATGATTTATTAGTTCCGATATTTATTCAATTTTTAGTTATTTATACAATACTTATGGAAACCTTTCATGTTTTTTACGTACTTATTGTATATGTACATATGTATACAATTGTTTGTACGAAAGAAGTCGTAACATAAGCTGATAGTAGATGTAGGTTATTTCCTAATATACCTTTGACCTAAAAGCAGAAATATTACGTCAAGTTCGTATTTATTAGAGTAAATAGTCGTTTCGGAGTATCCGATTTCTACCATAACCAACGTATTATTATTTATAAAGTTTCTAAATAAGAAAAATATGGATATAACAATTATATATTTGATTTAAATTGTATTTAATTAAAGATATATTAAAACACAAAGCACTGGTAATAGTTATTACGTAATTGTAATTATTTTCATGATATTTTCTTTTTATTAATTATTTCATTATACTAATATCCAAAAGTATGTATATAATATTTTGTAACATAGAAAATGTTATAATATAACACAATAAAAAACGCATAATATATAAACTATAAAATATCACAGAAATGCTAATAAAAAATTTAATATGTCTTCTATTTTCAAGATTTTAACATCTTTACTTTATTATTACAAAAATCTGAACAATTTCCTCGCTAATTACTTTCTTCCCCCTTCCAGTTATACACGTCTGAGAGTATGACGACTTAAAATTCTATTGAAAATAAAAAACAAAATTCTAAAAGGAGACGAATATAATGGAGATTAACAAGAAAAAAGGAATGAAAGTGAATAACACGTTGGGCTGAACACGAAAATAACACGTTGAAGAAAATAAAAGGAGCGGTATGTAAAAACAAAATGCGATTTAACACACCATGAAGAGGCTGCGTACAAGCAAAATACACCGTGAAAGGGTGAAGCATGGAAAAACACACAAAGGAAGATAATCGAAACGTAAACGTATCAGCTGGAAAGAAATAATAATTATAATTACCGAGATGAAAAATCCAGATTAAAGGATACAAAGTCATGTAGAATAGAAACAAGGTTTTAAAGGAAAGCAAAGCTATCCCATGGCGAAATACAGAGTAGCTAAACGCACCGTGAACAATCGTGTACGAATAGAATATACCTTGAAAGCGTAAAACGTGGCAAAACTCGCGGAGCCTGGTAATCACGAGACGTATAAATGTGGCAATAAGTATCAACGGGCAATTTAGTGTCCATTGAATTTGTTTTACGTGTAAACTACAGGCTGTCGCCGGTGGACCAATCGTGAAGATACTCTTTCTACATATTTAAGCACGTGTGCACGTGTGTACACATCGTGTATACCGGGTGGTAGAAAGAAAAGTGAGCCCAAAAATTGAACCTGCAACTGTTCGTCAAAATAAGCAAAAATTTGTAATGATCACAAACTAAGTGTAATTCCTATTTTAAATTTATATTACGAAACACGTTCGATGGGAAAATATTATTTCAACTTACAAGAAACTTTTTGTGTAACTTATAGTGAATTATTTCTTTGTACATCTTCCTTCGTTATCGAGTAACAATTTTATATTCGTTCTTTCAGATCGTACAATGCATCAGTCGGTATACTATACGTATATCACGTGCTATATATAACCATGAATAACATTCTGTCATCGTCTTCAAAGCAAAAGTGATCTGCAAATTGGAAAAAAATTTTGTAAGTTATTTCATTAATGGCGCCTTCATTTCCGTCTATGCAACTATTGCTCCTTAGCCATACAGAATCATGCACCCTTTCAGTTATACCGACTACTCTGAAATGGGCTAACGAGCACTTTCCACCCAATCTTTCACCATACTTTTTATCAATAACACTTCAGCTCACTGCAACTATACTTCATCAGTCCGCCAAATTGCGACGTTTATGGCCCATAACTCTCGAAATATTACTTTCAGCGTTCAAACAGGCCGGACACTTTTTGCTTACTTTAACGGAACACTGTGCAACCTCAAAATTTGCCGCCATTTTTTCTTCACACCCTGTATAGTTCGCAGCGAACCAGGCGCGAACTACTTTCCGCGGTGTCTGTGATCTTGTGCTTTAATGATATACTTGGTGCACACTATCGTGTACGCCATTCCCCAGAGGGTGTACAGATTATGGTAGTGGCACCATTATAAAACCTTCGAGATAGGCAGTTATGAGTCACGCTCACGGTGTAGAAGGAAGCAACCACGATGCTCGGGTATAAATGTTAATATTGCTCGTTTATTAGAAACCAGTAGAAACGCTGCCCTCCGGCCAACAGAAGTACTATTTATGCCGTTAAGCTACACGTGTGTACAATCACATGACGTTTTGTTTATTTCATTAAACGAAACACCAGAAGCGCACGATTAAAACGGCCAAGCCAGACAACCTCCAGGCTATTACGTAATCACGTATTTTCCAGAAGGTCAAGTAACTTTTTACCATCAATCGACGGATGATTGCACCCTTTGAGAGGCAGCCGCGCGTGAGCCCACCTATGGCTGGTAATAATGATGAAAAACTTCATCCGATGTGTACTCAACAGTGATTTCGTTGAGGAGATGCTAAAGAAAAAGTCCTATATCGACATCTTTCATCGATGCTGACTACTTAAAACTGTTATTTTTAGCCAATGGGTAACACGTAATCGGTCGATAAAGACTTGCGACTGTTTAGCGAAAGAATAAGAACCCGAATCCGCTGTTTTAATACAATATGTTGGTTATACTTTGATTCCATAGATGTCATTCGCTGACACATTTAGCTCGGAACGCTTGGCCCTCTCGCGCGATAATTCGCCAACTAATAATATTAGCGTATTGACAGGTTATAGGTTATAGATTGTGATTCTATTACACTGCTAGAAATAATTCAATTAAAGTACAACGTTCTACCGTTCCCTATCTACCCTTAAAATTTTTGTCGACGTATTATTATATTGTTAAGCACTCAAAAGTAGAAAAATATTTTGAATAAAATTTACAATGATCGTGATGAAATCTTTCGAGAAAGTTATTATTCAAGCAAGACAACTTTTTTAGAAACGAAATAAATAAGCATCGTCGTGGTCTAAGTCGTGCTTAGTCACTCTTAAAAGTACGTGGATCCTAATAGACGTTGTTTGATTGAAATGCGAATGGAAAGTAAAATACATATGAGTTATAACGGTTTAAAGATGTGAACACCGTTTGGCCATTTGTATTCCAACATATCTCTTAGATACACTACTGATGAAAACATTGAAAGCACTACGTTTTTCAAGACCTTTCACATTTTTTTATTACAACGTAAAATACGTGATGACAAATGAAATAGTAATAAATAACAGAAAATTTAAATTTTATAAATTAAAATTATTCAGATTATATCTTCCAATTTTTATTGATAAAAAAGTTGTTAAAAGTCTATATATAAATTTTTATAAACAATTAAATATTCTCGAAACTTTTATAATTGCAACTATAAGCAATTCTATAATTTCATTTTGCTGTGTACATTATTTGTTTCATTGTAATGTAATTATATAGATTATTGTAAGTATTAAATATAAATAAATTGTAGTATTTATTTGGATTGAAAAATTGAAACTGTAATGAAAAACTCATTTATTCAAGGGATATATTTAGCTAAAATCATCCTAGAATATATAATTCTCGTTTAAAAAAAATTGTTCCATCTAAAGGAAACAACAATCATAAAATTAGCAAAAAAATGATTATAATAGATTAATGGTTAAGAAAAGCAAAGGATAATACAAAAATAAGCGATGGTAAAGATTAATGTATCGTGAAAATCATTATAAAGAAAAAATAATACATATTATTAGAAATATTATTTCTGCCTTTCTGACTATGGCGTATACACTGGTATCTATAGTACAAGTCTTAACCTATATTTGCTGGAAAATTAAAGAGGTTGTAACAAGTAAATATTATCCACTCTAAAATTCGAAATATCAATAAACAGATGACGCAGAATGAAAAGTACTCTATTGAAATAACTAATAATTCTTATTTCTAATGGTATTGCTCCATAGTTTATCATCACATGTCGAAAGGAAGGCACGTATGAAACACAATGTGATTTTGAGTTACAATAATGTTATCTTCAATCTCTCTTCGGGGAAGATTATCATCGTTATTCTTGCCTCTAACGCAATTGAAATATATTTTACGTATCATCTCGTTCCATCAGTTTTTCAGCAGCTGAAACAGCTTAATTCGATCGCAGCGGGACAATAGCTCCATCGCGAATGTCGACATTCCCAGTTGTGATCTCTTTCTTACTCGCACGTTCTTTTTCTGTGGTATGACTCTCCCACATTCGGTTCTAACCTAACCGCATTCCAGGAAGAATCTGTGTCCCCGCCTATCAGAATGCACTTACATCGTTTTCAACGCGTGAAACTGCAAACATCGATGCACATAATTTAGCTTAATTGGATCAGTTGGGTCGAATCGGTCGAATCGCTACTCGAATGGATACAGGAATCTAATTGGAGAAAAATGAGGA